ACCCGATCGATCCCTCTTGATAACCGATCGATCGGGTCATGCAAAATCAGCACTATGCGCCCCGTTTTGGCTTGTCAAAATCGGATCCCTTCTCCTCCTCCTCCTTAGCCAATCATTCCAACCTTTTATTTGTTCTTCCTTTTCCCCAAACATACTCTTCTCAAACCCTAGGAATTCTTACTCCATTTTCTCTCAAAATTGATCTCTTTTAACCAAAATCTTTTGCAAATTGCTTCATTTCTACTTGGTTTCTTGCAAAAATCATCTTTAAAAATCATCAAATCACTCAAAAATCTCCACTCATTCCTCTCACTCTAGAAAATTGATTCGCTTTTTTAAACTACCACATTCACTCAATCTTCTTGCCTCTCTCAAATATATTCTACTACCTATCATCTACAATCACCAATTTCTTCATCAATTTCACATAAGCTTACCTATTTCAATCCCATTATTTTCATGGCTCCAAAGATAAGGAAAAATCCTCCAAAGAAAGCTTCTAGCTCATCAATGAGGCCTTCATTCAATCAAAATTTTGCCAATCCTAATGCCAAAGAAAGATATGAGACACATTTGCTCATAGAGAAGTCAAGCATGGAAGGATAATCTCTCTTGAATTCCTACAATCTATAGAGTTCCCTTATTTACATGCATTTGAGAGATTTGGATGGATGAATTACTTGTGCATGGATGACTTTTGTTTGAGAATCTAGTTAAGGTGTCTTATAGCAATGCCACTTGTATTGAAATTGAAGGGTCACATAGATATTATTCTGATAGATTTAGAACCTATGTGATGGGCAAATAAATTATGGTTACCAAGCAATTGTTAGTTGAAGTATTCATGCTAGATGATGAGGGAGACACCAACACTAGATGTGACATGTTGGAACTATCTCAAGATATATTTAGAAATGACAATTTAAGAGGTGCCTTTACTCAAGCCTCTAGACTGTCAATGCTTGATAGGTTGTTATACCTTATTATCACTCGTGTATTGGCACTCAATACTCAACCATTAGGAAGCAAGATTAGTGGTGGATGTATAAAATCAAACATCAAGAAAAACCCAATTTGGTGCATTTTATTTTCAGTAATCTTTCGAGGAAATTGAACATTAATACTAGAGGAGATAAAGAGATGGTGTTCAATGATCCATTTGGCGTTCTTGGTGCTCCTACTCTGCATAGCATGAGATATATTTAAAATGCAGCAAGTTTATAGGTTAGAAAAATTGATATTAGGGCTGTGCAAGAAGAGGGGGAAGAGCATGAAATTTCAAATATTACTGATGCACCTCAAGGATAACTTTCTACCCCACCATTTAATACCTAAGGAGCTTTAGAAATACTTATGCTTCAGATGAACAGTTCACATTCAATGGTTGGGATTATGAATTCTCAATTGGAAAACATGAAAGTGACTCAAAATGAGCTAGTTTACCAAGTTCACCAAGTTCAAGCTTATATTGAACAAATTCCGGTCTGCACAACAGCAAATGGGGCAACATTTCCCTTATTCTCCTCATTGCTCTACCTCTTCCTCAATGGTCATCCTAGTGTCATTCCTCATATGTTTTCTCACATCTTTTTTATGTTGTAAATTTGTCTTTAAAAACACTTTGCATTATGGTTTGTTATCAAACTTTGGCATTTAATGTTTATATTAATGAAATCTATATTTCATTTTCATTATGATATTTGTTATATCACTTCGAAATTTGGCTTGTAAAACTGATATATTGCTTGATGATTGGTATGAACTTAAGTTGTCAAATTGATTTGGTATGGCCTTGAATTGATTGCTATCTCCTTTTGATTGACTTCATGCTTTTTGCTATGACAAAAAGGGGGAGAGACAATGGTATGAAAAATTTCTATTTGATTGATGATCTTGATGGTATGAAAATTTTTATTTGATTGATGATCTTGATGGCATGAAAAATTCCCACTTGATGATACTAACATTGTTTTTGTTCTTAGTTGTTTTAAAATCTCTTAAAAGTTTTTTTATGCTTAAATTCAAGGGGAGTTTATTTTTCAAATGGAAAAATGTTTTTAAGCAAATTTTTCGCTTAGTTTTGTCATATCAAAACATGGGAGATTGTTGGCCTTGAATTGATTAAAAGTTTTGAATTGACAAAACAAAAATTTGCCTAACTTGAATCAAACTCTCCTAATCTGAAATTGAACAATTTTCCAGCCTTTTATCTTGCCAAAATTCATTTAGAAACTAAAACAAAGCAAATTCTCGAAACAAAATGTATTAAGACATGTTTTGGATAGACGGGATCGATCCCCTAAGAGAAGGGATCGATCCCCTCTCTCACCTAATCGATCCCTTGGCCAAAAGGATTGATCCATTTTTCTTCCAGAAGCTAAACTCGTAGAATTTTAGCAAGAACCAATTGATTCCCTCCCTGTAGGGATCGATTGATTATGGTTATGTACTTACTCAATCGATCACTCCTTTAAAGGGATCAATCTGTTTTTCATACAGAATGGACGAATAATGTTTGTTCTATTCCATTAGTAATAAGGGAAGAATTCGGCTTAGAAGAAAAAAGAGAAGCAAATCTATTCTATACTCGATAAGTATCAATACGCAATGGGGGTTGATCCTATTTTTAATGAATGAATGCATCCCTATTTGTTCATCATTCAAAGGACCTATTCGTAAGAATTCTCTTTCATTCATTCTGCCTTTCTTTATTTTATGGCCTTAGTCTATCTATGTATAAAATATGACAAAGGCCCATCCCCTGCTTAAGGCGTTAAGAAATTTCCTCATGTGGATTCCAAAAGCAAGGATATGTTCGCCTTGGAAATGAAGTCGTATTTGAGTTAGGAAGTTCTAGTTTTAAGGTTTGCCTACGGAGAAGACTTAATCAATTCACTTCGGGGATAAATTGAATGGTGTTCTTACCTTCCCATTTCCCGTAAGCTATGATTGAAGATTGACCGTAGGCAGGACCCCTTAGTCACTGAATCCTAATCTGACTCCTCAAAGAGAAAGATATCAAATATCTGGAGTTTCTCTTTGTATATTATATGGATGATTCGATCCACAAAGACCATGATTGGGAATTGTTTGATCGTCTTTCTCCGAGTAAAAGGCGAAACATAATCGACTTGAACTCGGGACAGCTATTCGAAATCTCAGTGAAAGACTGGATTTGTTATCTCATGCTTGCTTTTTGTGAAAAAATACCAATTGAAGTGGAGGGTTTCTTCAAATGATTCACACGGGATTCCACGTGCCCCATGCTACTCGGGTCAGAGCGTAAGCTAGTGATGCTTTCGGCTACTGGACTATCGCCATCTAGGGTTCGGCACTTCACCGCTTCGCCTAGCAGCACGACGCTTTTATTGCTCTCCCACAACCCCGTTTTCACGGTTTAGGCTGCTCCCATTTCGCTCGCCGCTACTACGGGAATCGCTTTTGCTTTCTTTTCCTCCGGCTACTACCGTCCATGTACGATCCATACTAGATCTGACCAACCGCCCATCCTACCTCTTCTACGTTCATGACAGCCCGTCTTTATCTCAGTAGAGTCTTTTAGTGGCATATTTCGGTCCTCTTCCCCCTCACTTAGAAAAAGTGAGCCACTGGTTCAGGTACAAGATACTATCATTAACGCCTAGACAATTAGACATCCACAATACAGACGTGATGATCAGTTGGACCTTTGATTAATTAACATCTCTTTTTTTCACTGACCCTTTTAATTTTAATTTAATTAATTTAATTCAAGGAAGTCAAATTCGAATTGCTGTTCAATTTTTTTTTTTAGTTCGATGTAATTTTCGACCTAACAATAGCAGAATCACGCTCTGTAGGATTTGAACCTATGACATTGGGTTTTGGAGACCCACGTTCTACCAAACTGAACTAAGAGCGCTTTTTTATCAAAATAAATAAGATTGTAAAAAAGAGGATTCTTTTATTTTATAACCCCGATACATCGTGCACACCTATACTATCATATATCATATATAATATGAGATCGATCCCTCCCTTAAAGGGATAGATCTGTTTTTCATATAGAATGCTATCCTCATTTAAAAATCCAAAAAAGGATCGATCTATTTACAAAGGGGATCAATCACCCAAAGACTGGATCGATCAAGTACACTACCTGATTGATCGGGTAAGCTTTTTTAAGGCACAAGAATGGGCTTTCTCATAACTGACCCAATCGATCCCCTACATGAGGGGATTGATCACCTGATGCCCCACCGGCTTTTTTTTGTCTGATATTTTGTAAGTTTGAAGCATTAAATGCAAGACGATGGCTATCAACTCCTTCCTATATATAAATGAAGGCTTCCACTGCAAATTAAGATTATGCATAGCTAAGAGAAATTATTGCATTCACCAACCATCTTGTTCAAGCATTCAAACCAGTTCAAAAGAGAGAAAAGTGCCAAAAATCCTTCTTGTATCAGTTTTTCTCTAAATTCTCTTGTCAATACTGCTTTGCACTTCAAGCTAGCAAACACCCAACCTTAGAGAGGTCTTTTAAGTTTGCATAACATTTCAGAAACTTTGTATTGTGAGATTGTGAGCTTAAGGGGGAGGATAACCCTTAAGAGTTTGTGGTGTTAATTGTGTAAAGCTTTGAGAAGTTAAGTTGTATCTTCAACACATAATGAATTGAACTCCTTGGCAAGTGAGGCTAAGGGAGAGGACATAGGTGCTAAAGAAAGGACTGAACCTCTATAAATCTTGGTGTCTAATTCTCTATCTCTATCTCTTGTTTACTCTCATTTATTGTGTTCATTTGCTTAAATAAATTGTTTTGCAGAATTTGTGCTTATTATGTATTGATTTTCGAAAATTTTATTATCAACCAATTCACCCTCTCTCTTGGTTTATTTCAAGTCTTTGCGCTAACATAAATAAATACTTAACTGATTGTGAGAAAATACAAAAAAAAAAAAAAAAGTTTTTCAAATCAAATAAAATGAATGAGAAGCACGTTTGCCTTGAATACATACCTGATCCATAGGATCAGCCTCCGCCTGCTCCTCAAGGAACTCTGGAGATATATAATTCTCTCTGAGAGCTGATATGTCAATTTGTGGAGGCTTTCCAATTCGGACACACATAGATGTGCCTGGATATTGGGGAAGTTGAAGCTTATATTTTTCTGCAATAGTTGGTGGGACAAATCTACCACCAAGAAAGTGGTGAGGTCCAGAAAATTTCTTGGCACACAGTTTGGGAGCAGTCAAAGAAACCTTTGAAAATTAGAATTTTGCAGTAGTTAGATATTTAATATAAAGGAGGGGGTGCCTAAGTATGTATTTAAACAAAAAAAAAAAAGAAAAAAAAACCAAAGTTTTCAGAGCACATGTAAGGCTGCATGACGAAACACATACCAACATGTGAGGTTTGATGCCTTGACCACCAACATCACCCTCTTCAACATGCCATCCAGATGGAATATCTACAGATACAATAACAGGGGACTTATGTTGCATTTGTCCACAACTATGTAAGTGGACCAGCTTCTGGATCAGATTATCAAAAGGTGGCCTTGGTGAACCTGAAAGATTTAAAATGATGAATAAAGAGGATGCATAAAGTTTCATGGTTACCATCGTTAGCCCAAAATCCTTCTTCAAGCTATGCTTATACACTGGAGAAATAAAATGTTCTGTAATATACAAAAAGACCAAAATTTAACTAGGATTATTCAAAGAATAATTATATATAAAAATAAAGATGAGCCAGAAATGGGTGAAATAAACCTAACCAAGAGGCAATAAATGATTTAATGACAAGATCTGATCACACCAGTGAAAATAAGCAATAATACCAAAGCACAGAGAGGTGTGGATATGGCATAGGTTTGCTTATTAGAAAATTGAAATGTGTAGAGACCACTTTAGCAGCAAAGAAAAATGGGAAAATTCAGGTAGTAATGATAAGAAATATGAATCTTCAACTATAAGAAGACAACATTAATGGGGATGAATAGAAGAACCATAGCAGCATGATGTTAGCTTGTTTCTAAAAAGATGTTAATCACAATATTGTTGCAGCATCACAAAGTATATACATAAACATGAAGTTGCAAGAATTATTAAAAATAGTATGAGCATTAGGTATTTACCGTGAAACGAAAAGCCAAACATAGCATCCACTAGAATGTCAAAGTCCTTTGACAAGTCCACAGGCAGCTCATCCACTGACAGGAAAGGGATTAACAGAGATTCCAGCTAGAAAACCAGCAGATTAAATAACAACTCATATAAACCATAAAATTGAATGTTCAAGATTATTACAAATACAGCCCTTTGTATCATACCTGAGTAACAAGACCAGAATAAAGGGGTTTAGCAGTTCGCTTAGGATAACACACAAACAGCTTATACCCAAAGTGATACAAATGACGAGCAGCAACCAGCCCATCACCTCCATTGTTTCCCGGACCACAAATAGCAAGAATACGATTATACTCACTTGGTTTATAAACCTGTAACAAGGAAAGCTCCTTTGGCACACCAGAAACATAGTATAATCCTATTTAATCTCAAGGAGGATTGTAAACAGAACAATATATATTTGACATCCTACTAGTAGTAGACAGTGGCAAGACAAGGTAGAGAAAAGAATTCAGAGTCAATATATATTTGCCGGAAACTTCTTATTCAAGCTTGCATAAACTTAAGAACATGGAAATTTTGAATGTTCAAATTAGTATATTAAAACCAGCAAAATTCCATAAACAAATCGAAAAAAAAGGTAATAGCCATTACCTCAGCAATAGATGTGGCTACGCTTAAACCAGCCAATTCCTAACAAGTCACACAAACTGAAACCATTCAAGCTTTGAAGAAAAAGAAATGGAAATTGGAACAAATGTACTTAAGACATGAATGGAGTAAAAGAAACGCTAACTAACCATTAGCTGATCAACACTAAAGCCGAGAGGACCCATGAGAGTCTCATCAATTTCAGCAGCTTCTCGCTGTGTCAGGTACGAAATAGAATCCTGATTTTGCAGCGACGACGCCATTCCTCCCACTTCACCGGATTTCGAACAAAGAGGTCGGATTGCAGGGCTCGAAATTGGACCCAAAAAACCCTGTAAATTAAAAACAATCTTAGCTTTACTTGTTGAAGTGTTCGTAGAAGGATTCAAAAAGAGAGGGAATGACAAAGTTTTGACCGAGAAGAAGCGGGGAAAATAGGTGGAGGGTTTGGTTTTGTAAATGGAAGGAGAGTTCCTATAATAAGCGAGAGGAAGTGGCGCTTGGGTTGCAAGCGAGCTTATCATTCTTCTGCATTCGCCTATCACATCTCCCCACTTTGCTTTTCTTTTTTCATTTTTTTTCGATTATCTTATTTTTCTTTACTAATTACATATCATATAAGAAAAAATAATAAAAGCAAAATTATAAAAATTATACTGTATATAATTTTGTCAAAAATGAAATATTAATGCTGTCAATCTACCAATTTTTTTTTCTTTCACATATAAATTGGTAAAAATTTATTTTAATTTTAAATTTTTTTAAGCAAACAATTGATTAATGCATATCTTTACGTAATAAAATCTAGTTAGTTTACGTTTTAAATTTTTATACTTATACTTTTTTTTATAATTGAAATTATGATTTTTTATATAAAAATTAAAAAAATATCAAATTAATTTTTATAACTATAAACAAACTTTTTGGCTTAGAATAAATCTCATCACAAGCTAAGTAGCTGAAAATTAAAATGATTCCCATTTTTCTTCTATACTTCTAAGGCACGCTCATCCTCTTTGTAGCATATTTATTTTTCTTGTTTCTGAGGCAACATCTTTGAATCCTGTCCAGGAAGCTTAGCCCTGTCTCCAATCCTTTGTCATCTGAAATTAACAAACTAACAAAAAGGAAAAGAAATTCTATCAATCACATGGAAAGGGTTACACACAAAATTAAACAGGAATTCAGAAACAAGAACATAATCTACCACCATTTTACACAAGAAAATGAGAGTCCATTAAATCACATTCGAACCAAAATTTAAGGAGCAGTCTCCTATTTCGTCTTTTTTTTTCAAAAATTTTAGTGATGTCCTGAATGCGACACATTGATTTGATTACAAATGAGTTTTTTTTTTTTTTCGCTATTCATGTTATTTGTCAATAAAATATTAAATTATTAATTATTGTAATTAAATTTTAATTTTTGACGACTTTAATTATAGAAAGTTTTATAAAACAGAGAGATGCAACCTCATGATGGAAATTTTATAATATATTTATAATGCGATTAATTCGTTGATTGTTAAATTTTAAGATTGAAAATGATTTTTGAAAAATTAATATGCAAAGAAAATGTATGGTTACTGGATTTTTGTTAATATAAGAAATGTAATATTTTTATATTTGATTTAAAAGAATATAAAATTTTTTAATAAAATTTTTTATTATATTATATTTGATAATATATGAATAATATGTGATATTTATATCATGTGAATGATATATAATAGTCATTATATATTACATGTGAATCACATATTGTCTTTGTTAAAATTAAAAAATTTTAAAAATAAAATTGTTCATATTTTCAATAATATAATTTTATAATCCTAATTATTATTTTAACATTAATTATTATTACACAAAGAAAATACACAAATTAATCCTTATATTAAGATTAACATGGGAGTTAGAAGGGGGTGATAAACCCTTATTTCGGGTTTTTTGAGGGTGAACCCCTCGGCACAAATTTTATATTGAATAATAATAAATAAATATATTTTAGATTTTATATGTAATATTATTAAGTAAATATCTTTTTAAAATTGGATCTTTGCTAAAATTATAAAATTAAAAAAATATGATCTCAACATTTATTATGTTTTTTTATCTAATATTTGTTGACATTGTAAATAACAAAAATCACATTTAATTTTTAAATATAATTAAAAAAATACAATTAAGTGAAAATAAATGAGATAAAATTTTTACTATCCCTACGAAATCTAAAAAAACTCAACGAGAAGAGAGTTTTTATTTTATGTATTTTTCCTCTCTTTTACGTTGTTGGAAATATTAAAAACCCTCATAAATGGCATTTCCTATACCAAACTAAAAAATCAAATTATAAAGAGTAATATATCAATTGAAAATTTTATTTTTTTCGAATCAAACATCCCTTTAAGTAACATTTGATATTATTTTTAAAATCATCATAATAATTTAATCGTAAGTTATTTTATCACTAAGATGATTTTATTATTTTTTATTTGATTTACAATTATTATCTATTAAAAATTAAAAATTATTGTATTTACTAGAATGAAATATTATTTTGCTTACAAGCATTAAAATAATTATATATATTATAATAGTTATATAAGTGAATGATTTCAATATTATATAGAGATAATAATTTATACAATAGAAATAATATTTTTATTTATTTTATTATAGAATATAATTAAATTAATAAATTAACAAATATGTTTAAGGATATGTTGTTGAATTATGTAAAAATATAAATTAACAAATAAATTTTATAATATAAATTATGTAAAAATATTTGAATTAGAAAATAAAAATAATTTATTAAACTCATAAAAAACAAAACAATTTAGTATATATAAAATATTCAACAAATATAAAAAAATAAAAAAATAATGTTAAATTTATTATACTAAATATTTGTTTGAAAGTATAAAAATTATAACAGACAATAAATTTTAATTTATATATTAAATGAATAATATTGATTATTATTAATTTTATAAATTATTTTATTTCAAAAATAAAAATTTATCATTTTTTAAATAAAAATTAAATTACTTTCAAAACACTAATAAAAATTAGATTATTTTTTATAATAATTTAATTATTTTTTATGATTCAAAAATATTTTTATGTTAGACCACGAAAGTTTATTAAATATATTGATTTAATAGTCAAAATTATTATGAATTTTAGAGTGATAATCGGGTATACTAAATATTACCTTAATTATAACAGGTAGTAAAAAAAAAAAGGCCAGTTGGAGAAGAAAAATGTAGAAATTTCCAGCGCCGCACGATTATAAACCAACGGTTGATCTCTCTCTCAACTGCGTCATCAATTTAAAAAAAAATACATCGGGAGAAATAAAACTGGATTACGACACCGTCATTGCTAAGTCGAGAAACTTTCAAAATCAGGCGAGCTATCTCGTCAATTATCTTCTTCCTTTTTTTTTTCTTTCAATCCTAGTTGACTCGGAATTTCTTTGTCTTCTGAAGGCGTTTTTCTCTTCCATTTTGATGGCATCTACTTCGAACCGAACCGGCGGCGGTTCCTTCTACGGCGATGCGGCTCCTTACCGATCAAGGTTTAATTATACTCTTTGTTTATTTTCTTGAAATTCTTTCGATTCATGTAATTTATAGTCAGAGAATCTTGGCTTTCCTTTTCTATTTGTTTGTCCGAGGTAATTTTGATTACTGTTAATCTTGAAATAGGCAGGGTTTAAGCACGAGACCGGTGGCTAGCTCCGATGAAATACAATTGCGGATTGATCCAATGCATGCTGATTTGGACGATGAGATCACCGGTCTCCGTAGCCAAGTTAAACAATTGAGAAATGTAACACTTTATTTATTGATTTATTTTCTAATTTGATATTTTTGATTATTTTATATATATTTTATTTCCTTTTCTATTGGATGAAGTGCATGAATGATATTCAGCTAGTAAAATTCAAAAAGTTCTTGATGATAGCTTGATGCGATTTTTTATCTTTCTTTGTTTGGCTTTAAGGATTTGAGCTAAATTCAGTGTAATTTGTTACCCAGATGAAATCCTGTCATGCATTTGGATAGCTTTCGGTTATTAGTAGATGTCATGTAATCTTATCGATATTGCTTTGGTATATATTTATTTTTTAAGGAAATTGTGAAGTAGACCAATGTAGATACAATTCAAAGGTCATTCTGAAGTGAGAAAAATCAGGCTTGCAATAATCTTCTAATGGTATTTAATATGTTTTTCTTTTCCTGTTGGAGTTTGTCAGTATTTTTTTTCTGTGGAAGGATATCTTGACCCTTACTGCAAAGTTTAGCTTGTGAGTTTTTTTTTTTTTTGGGGGGGGGGGGGGGGGAGGGATGGAGGGGGTGACGATACATTTTTCCTTTCTATTAAGGTCTGTAGCTTTAACTGGCTGAATCATGTTTAAAGGTTGTCTTTTTCTTGAGTCTTACCAAAAAATATTGGTGCAGGTTGCTCAAGAGATAGGATCAGAAGCAAAATTTCAGAAGGACTTTTTAGATCAGCTGGTATTTATCACTGCTAAATGCACCCTTTCTTCACATTTAATCTCTTTATTGCATGCTATGTCCTTTCTATGACGTTTTATTGCTTCCATATTAGGAACACCACCTTAGTCTATCATACATATTTGGTGGTTTTACAATAAAATTGCAACAGTCTTGTATAATGAAGTGAAATGGAGGGGGGAAATATAATTTTGAGCTATGGTCCTATGGAAGTGTTGGAAAATAAGCGGAAAAAAAGTTGGGTGATGTGAATTCTTGCGTATCTTCGTTTGTCAATGTAGTTATCATGTTGTTTCTCTATTTTCTAATAGATAGTGATGTGATCTTCATTAGAACTAATTTCCCTGAGAGTTTGTATGGGTAGGAAACATCTTTTCTGTCTCTTCAGTTAATATGTTGTACTATGCAAGCAAGTATTTAAATTTTGATATACCCTGTTATTCCAGAATCCATCCCATCATTCTTTTCCTCAATCTCTTTCTATTTTATGGTAGACAAGGAGGCAAAGTCTGTTAGCCATCAAGTTGGTGGTGGCTAAATGCAAAAACAGAATGCTGATCTTGATAATTAACCCTTTGATGATCTACACAGATTCTCCTCTTCTTCTGATTTCTGCTTGCACATGTCCACTCATGCATGCAAAATCAATTCTATCAGTTTATTGTTTTAATGGTGATTTTCCACTTAAGGTAGCAAGGCATTACTTACATGTAGGTAGTTTTGCTATTTAAATTTGAAAAAAAAAATGCTTTTTCTGCTTTATGAATATGCAATCTCATTTTATGACAGCAAATGACCATGATTAAAGCTCAAGCAGGGGTGAAGAACAACATTAGGAAACTGAACAAGAGCATAATCAAGCATGGCTCAAACCATATTGTTCATGTGGTTCTTTTTGCACTGTTATGCTTCTTTGTTGTCTACACTTGGTCCAAATTGTCTGGAAGATGAAGTTTGTGAGACAGTTGAATACATGTTGATTGGCAATTAAAAATGGTGCCTAAATGCTGCTGACAGTTTCAGTAAAGGTGGTTGTGTAAAGCTTTCTTCATGACACCGTCAATTGTTCTTGACTTTGAAAAATATTGGTTCTAAGTTTTTCTTATGCTGCAGTGAGAACTCTAGTTCTATCCTCCCCTAGTTATGCCTTTTGTACTTAATGGAATGAGATGATAAATTTCAACGTAAATTTCCTATTAGAAAAAAAAGTACTGGTATTTATTGATTTGACTTCTAAGTTTTAACATTTTAGTGGCTTTAGTTGGTTGGTTAAATTTTGATATTTTTAACTTGGAGATTTCAAGTTCAGATTTTGGTGATAGAAGATGAGATTTATGAGATAGACAAGGGGTTCTTTATGTAAGGTTTAGCAGGCTTTTAAATTGGCATCTTGTTTCGTTTGGTCAATTGCTGATTCTCACTTTGTCGAAGATGGCTGCCAATTCTGACAAGGTTCCGTCTTGTCCAATTTGTCATTTTTGTATAGCATTTTGGATATTTGAGGCATGGCCTATGGGGTTAGGTTTTATGTTTTTATCCCCGTCATGGTTGCCAGTCTGGGGCATATAAACATATTATTAACCTTGGCAAATACATCGATTCATGTAACGATTCTTAAAGTTTTGAAATAAAAATCTCATGGTTTGAAGTAAAAATTCTAACACGTTAATTTTTTTTTTTAACTTTTCAGATTGTAACTTTTTATGTAAATCTTTTTTTTTTTAATTTTTAAATTGCAACTTTTTATGCATCAAAATACCTGTTGGTTGTCTCGAGAAGACGATAAACAAGACCTGGTTCCTCTATCAAGTATCGATAAGAGCATTCCTCTTTATCCAAATATCGATAAGAGCATTCATGGGGAAATGAATACACCGCTTGCAGAGCTCTCACTCAGTATGACACAGATCTTTACAAGGCTACGCACAATTCTTGAGCGACAACTTACCTATATCATTCCCAGCAACCAAAAACACACCTGTACAACTGGGTAGAAAAAGTGATTTGAAACTTGAGAGGATCTATTTACATCAATTCTGTACATCAATTCTCCCTGGTCACCAGGTTAGAAATATTATTTAGTCAACACTATGGGTTGGAAGACAAAAAGCTTGGCTAGGAGATGACACCATTGTCACCGGATTGATGTTAAGGTCATCCGTAAGCATCATTTGCCCACTGAAAATTGCAACCAGGGCAGGTTAATTCTGAATCCCCAGCTCAAAAAACAGTGGAGATAATCATGTTAGTGGTGTCAACATGATCAGAAGGCTCTACAGAGGTTATTAGCCGTCAGGTTAGATGAACATTGCTGCTCTATAGGTCCTGTGGGACTACAAAGTCTGCTCCTCTTTGGTTCAGAAATCCTGACATGGGAAATTGCCACAGCAAGCACATCCACCACACCATTTTCATCTTGTTCCTCTGACTTGCAGCTTAAACTGTTGGATGTTAAGACTGGCCGTGGACCCTGACTATGAGAACCACCATCTATCCTCAGACTTATCTCGAATTTAGGAGAACTGGTTATTTGGCCAGAAGGTCCTACATGATTCTTTGACTTGGATTTGATGGATAATGTCTTTAATGTGCGCTCAGTGTAAAATAATATCCATGGATGCCCTGAAATTACACGATTTGAATGTCAGCAAGTAAAGTCTAATGATTAAACACCATAGAGGTAACCCTATTCAAGTCCTACGATATATTTCTAATCAAATAACAGATTGATTCGGAAAAATAAATATACATAGTCCGCATAAATTGAAAAGAAGCAAACATAATGAGTGGCAGAAGCAATCCTTAGAATGCAAAACGATGAAAAATATATTGAATCACCTTTATGGTGGCTCAATAGTCAACACTTTAATATATAATTAGCAAAGTTACATGATTCATTGATGAATGCAAGGCTAATTAACAAACTTCTAGTGAATATGTATTATTTAATTATTTTAGGATTTTAGAAAGAGAAAGTGGGGGCTTACTTAGTACTTCATCAGCAGTTATTCGTGATGAAACATCCCTTGTCAGCATTCTTGCCAACAGATTGCGTGCAGGTTTAGATACAGACTCCCATATCCCTGAGTGAAACTCGAGCTTTACATTCTTGATGGCCTCAAATACTGCCTTCAAGGAGTCTCCTTGAAATGGAAGAACGCCAACCAAAAGTGCATGTAGGAGCACACCAGCGCTCCATATATCGACCTTCTCAGAATAATTTCCCAATAAAACCTCAGGGGCAACATAAGCCGGACTTCCAGCCAAACCAGACAAAGTCTGACCTGTAGTAATTAGTAATTGTATCACTCAGAAGTGTTAGGCACAGCTTAAAAAGGAGACAAGCAAATACTAAGCAGAACTTTCCCAAGGCAATATGCTAGAGTCTTTTAGCATATGATCAAATCCACTTATGCATAAGAATGATCAAGGGTGAAGAAATAGCTAAAATGTAAAACCTTTATAATTAACAATTTAGAACACAAGAACATTGAAACTAAAATCAAATAGAACTAGTCTGTGTGACTTGAAGTCCAAGGACAATAATTTATATGCCCCAGTAAATGTATATTTTCAAACTTTTAGCAATTATGATATAATTTAGTTTAACAAATGGTGTGGTTGAACAGGCTAAAACCAGGCCACAGTCCCTCATATGCTCCCAGGTAGATATCAACACTCCTCAATAGATAGTCATAATACTGATAGTCGTAGGCATCTTTAATGTAAATTTAAGCACCCTAAAAGATAACATTTTGTTACTCCTTTTTTTCAGTAAATTCTCTTGTTCCTGCCACCAACCAAGACATGGCCATAGAAAGGAAAAAATGTAATGTTGCAGGCAATATAACAATCGAGGTTATCTTCATCAATAAGCAGACAGGAAGATGTCTTCTTGTCTCTTATTTCTCCCTCTCCCTCTCCCTCTCCCTCTCCCTCTTCCTTCATCCATATTTTTGACTGGCATTTTGCAGCCAATCTCAAAATAAAGATGTTGCCATACTTGGTAAATATTAAGAGCATACAAACTAAACTCTACATCTCCAAACATTTGAATATTGTGTTTAAAGAAAATAAACAAAGGAAGAATTTAAAAGAATCAATAAAAAGTAAAGGTAATACTCTTCAATGCAAGTGCTAGATATTCACCATTAGAAATTCTCATGGCAAGACCAAAATCTGCCAGCTTTATCTTTCCTGAAGTTGTGAGAAGAATATTCTCTGGCTTTATATCTCTATGCACAACTCCCATCTCATGACAGTACTTAACGACTAACATCACATCCTTAAAAATATTAGCAGCACGTTGCTCTGAATACTGACCTTCTGCCATTTGGTCAACCAACCGACCTCCAGAGCACAACTCCATTACAAGATGAAAGCAGTCCAGCTCCTCATACACTGCGTGTAAAGTCACAACCCCAGGATGACCGGATAAATGCTGCATTATCTCTACCTCTCTATGAACCGTCTCCTCTCCCTTATGCAAGGTTTTGCACGCAAACTCTACTCCACTAGTCCTAGATCTACACAACCAAACCGACCCAAATTTCCCCTGCCCAATGGTGTCACCTTTAACATAATCATCCTCAATCTTTTTCTTCCTTCCAATTCGTGTAATTACCTCAATGCACCCTATCTTCCTCTTAAGACCTCTTCCTGGAGGAACCAAAGACGATGCACCACAAGGTGGGGCAGTAGCAATGCCGGCGAGTCTACTTTTCCACGAACCAACAGGAGGCGCATCCACATCTTCTTTGCACCTCTTTTTTATCCTCGCATAATCTTCTAACGAATAATGACACCTAATATTAGATGATCTGGGATCACAAGTGGATGCAAAATTGTTGGTTACCTCCGGAGATGCATCCGTTTCACTTCCTTTCCTCTTCTTTCTCATCAAGTCAAGTATCAATTCAAACAAACTTATCTCCACTAGAACTTAGATACATTTAAGTTTCAGAAAAATTACAGATGAAATGATCAACAAAAATATCCAATTTTATTGCCCAAGCTCTTCTGCTTTCCTTTCCTGCAAATCAAAAATAAAAAAGAAACGATGGTCAAAATCAGTTCAAAAACAAAGGAAAATAAAGAAAAATGCAAATAAAAAAAATTTGATTCACTAAAACACAAAATGTAATGAACCCACAATTATGTGAAGGTATTTCAAAGATCATATTTAATAAAAACCGGAAATTTTATTTAAAAAAAAAAAAAAGAAAATCAAGATAAAGAATCGATCCTGTTTGCTTTTTTCATGGATTCTCCTGGGGACCAGACAGAACCTAGATCAAAATCTTAACTTTATTCTATCATTATTCAAAAATTTCAATCTAATGGTAAAAATTAAACCAAAAAAAAAAAGAATTTCAAGACAAAGAACAAACCTTTAAACACAGCCAAAGATCCCCAGATTCCAACAAAAGGGAGACCTCCGTTGAGAAATAGTTAAAAGAAAAAACAAGAAAGAAGAATCAGCGACATTAGGTGAGTAAATAATGGGAAAAGCCGGGGAGAGAAATTTGGAGCATCAAATCGGAAAACCTAGAAATTTCCGGACTCAGATTTGGGGTGATTTTTATTTTATATATACTAACGTAAAATAAATTATTTCTTTTCTTTTCTTTTTAAAATATAAAATTATTACCTGGCTTTTGAACTTTGAAGAGATTGGAGACGTGTCCAGTTCTTATACGCTAGCTTTTCCTAATCCGGATCTTACTCGGGTGCCCTGTTTTTTATGGGGTTATTTACTTTCGGTGCGGCTGTACGAAGGCAGCTGATGTGGTCATTCCTAGACCGTCTGATGAGTTTACTTGGCTTCGAGATTGGCGGCTTTTGTTTCGTTGACGGACATGACGTGACATGATTGGCTGAGAAGCATGTGCGGGTCCTAAGACGTGGACGTAGATATTTTGGTTCCAGTCGTGCTGCCGTTTGGTTTGGACATGTTTTTGTACGGATTGCGTACCCGTGGAAGATTCGTAACACTTTTTGTTACATTTGTGTGAGTATTTTTTTTAAGTGAGAAGTTATTTCCTTAAGTTTATATTTGTTATAATAATTTATTTAATTTTTTATTATTAATTGATATCATTTGTGATATCAATCCATTTAGATTTTCTATATTATATATATAGACCAGAAATAAGAACATCCATGGGTGAAAAAAATTACCTATACTATTGTACAAGCTGCTTTAAATTTCCAAAGAATTTTGTGAATGAGCTTAAATTTGGTAGGGGCTTGCGAGTGCTAGGAATAGAATTCATTGGTTATGTTAGAACTCTCTTTGTTGCCGTAAATTGGATGGCGGTTTCAGTTCACAATTGTCTTTTTCTAGCTAAAAAATGCTGGCGCCTGGTGCAACAAGAAAATAAATTATGGCCTCATGTCCTGAAAGCTAGATACTTTAGTGAGAGGTCGTTGATAGAGGTGGAGAGTTGGTAGATGTGTGGTAACATAGATGGTTGAATAAACCATGCACCTAATTATATACCTGTAATTCGAGATGATGTTCTGGTGTTCCCATCCTTTGGGAGTGGCAAACTTAATTGATCATATCTTTGCCTTTAAGCCGGAGAAGTGTTCAAGATAGAGTGATCTGCAATGAGTCCATGTCAGGAGTATTGTTAATGAAAAATCTGCATATTTTATGGCAAGGAAATATTTGGGGAGGGATAATATTGCAGCTGCGGAACTACGTTCTCCTTTATGGATGGAGACTGGCGTGGTCTGCTGGCCGGGGGTGCTTCCATTTTTGTTGAACTATTTTGTGTGGAGGCTTCTACGGGGCATTATTTCTACTAGAGATGGTCTGCACCAGAGAGGGATTCGAGTGGAGAGCTCAGGTTGTGTTTGTGGCTGTTCGACTGAATATTTTTTCATGTTTTCTTTGTGTGTGCATTTTGTGGAGAGTGATTCCACTGTAGCCATAGCCGAAATTACAAAAGAGGAGGGTAAATAATACATATTGGGATGGAGGTGGCATTATCGTGGATATCCAGGACTCAGAGGCCTCTTTGGATGCGTGCCAGTTTGTGTACTCAAAAAGAAATTTAATGAAACATATTATTTATAATATTTTATAAATATATTATAAAATTTAATGGAGCATATCCCTTACAATTTTTTATAATAAAATTATTTAATTGTAATAAAAAATTATGCGAAGATTTACTTTTTATAAATGGGGGTGGCATTATCGTTGCATTTCGGTTTGTATTAAGGATAATCTTTCATATGATAGATATGGGATTGTATTTACTAGAAAATGTAGCATTGGGTCTTTTATCCGAACTGGGAGTAATGACGAAGAAAATAAAAAAATTAATTTAAAATCGTAATATTCAAATAAGTTTAATTTTTTATTTGATATTAATTAAATTTGTATAATAAATATATATTAAGTTTAAATTAGATAGAAAATAAAAATTTTAAAAAAATTAAATTGAATTATATATTTTAAATATTTTTAAATTTTTATAAAATAAAAATAATTATTTTATATTTAAATTTATTTAATTTTAAAAAATTATATTAAAATAATATATAAAAATAAAATTTAAAAATCAATGACCTTAATCAAATGAATAGTTTGAATCAATTTGAAGCGAATCATAGGAAAATTCAGTTTAAATTTTAAAAAGTTTATAATTTTATATCACCCTTAGGGACTCTCTTGTCATTTAATTTTTTACCAAAAATACAATGAGAAATGAAAAAGCACCCTATATTCTACGCAACCAACGCACATTTCATTATCTTTGTCTCCAAGAGTCGAGGGTACCCTAAACATCAGACACAAAGCCGTAAGAAAAAGAAGAACTGAAAATGGCTCAGTGTATGAGGGCAACCTTAAACCCTCCCAAGACCCCACTTTACTCCGCCAAAAACCTTACTCAAAATCCCTTATTCCCATCAATCACTTCATTTGAAGCGAAACGCAAGTCCAGAAAGTACCCCAAAATCTCTCTTTCGGTTATGTCCAGCCAAAACCAAAGCCAACAACGAAATCCTTCTATTGATGCTTTGCTCAACTCTGGTCGCAAAGAAGAAGTTTTTGCCACCATCAAAGACTCAGTTCACAATTGTCTTTCAGAGACTAATCTTCTATCGACGGTTCCTGGTCTCAAATCCAAAACCAGAGGCAAGGTAGAAACAAAGTGTGTGTATTTATTTATTTATTTATACAAATTTGGTTAACATTTGAAAGTTGTGTGCTTTTCTTAGCAAACAAACAAAGGGTGGTGTTAAAAGGATGGGATTTTTTTTTTTTTTTAAATATGGATTTGTTTGTGCAGGTTAGAGATATTTATGATAGTGGGGATTATCTTGTTTTAGTTACAACTGATCGTCAGAGTGCATTTGATAGGATTCTTGCCTCTATTCCCTTCAAGGGCCAGGTTTTTATACGTGCTACCTTGTTGATGGTAAATATTAACAGTAGTAATTGAGATGTAGTATCATTGTTGGAATTTCAAATTTCAGGTTCTTAATGAGACGAGTTTGTGGTGGTTCAATAGAACACAACATATTACTCCAAATGCAGTTGTGTCGGTACCAGATAAAAATGTTACAATTGCTAAGAAATGTTCTGTCTTTCCTGTTGAATTTGTTGGTGAGTATCTTTGATACTCTTACTGTTCATTTTGCCACATGGAGGGTGGTTAATGGGAATTGAATGATTTCACTGTTATAAACTTGTACTGTGAATTTCCTTGGTTACATTTCATGATTAGTAGCTATTCCTGAAGCTTGGATTATGGACCAAGTTCCAATCTATCAATTAAAGCAATCAACGAGTTTTCCTTTGTTCATTAACAGCATGTAAAATAGTGAACGTATTCATAATTTTTAGTTTTATTATATTTAGACGGGGTAATTTCATAAGGTATGGAAGATAACGACTTGTTTAGTTTCGGAATAGATAACCGAATTTCACATGGTCCATTTGCAAAAATTTGTTTCTTGATTTGGTCTTCTATGTAAGTTTAATTGATTTTTTTGTTTTTAAATTTCTGTATCAAATGGGGGTTGAATTGCCATGGTTTCAAAGTGATTTAAGTTTTCCATTTCTGTATGCCAACGTTATCATTTAGGCTTATCGCAGTCATCTTGTTTAAAATCTTCATCTGATCTAAAATTTGGTGCTATATGCAGTTAGAGGGTTTGTGACAGGAAGTACTGATACATCACTGTGGACAGTGTACAATAATGGAGTTCGGAGTTACTGTGGCAATTTACTTCCAAATGGTGAGGTTTCTGTATAGGGTTAATATGCAGTTAGGGTTTTAACTCACTTTCTGTTTAGTGGTTTAATATGTTTGTTATAGGTTTGGTAAAAAATCAAAAGTTAACTGCAAACATACTTACACCAACGACTAAAGCTGAGGATCATGATGTTCCTGTAACTCCAGATGAGGTTGATCTTTTTTCCCCAAATTTAAACTTTGACATGTGTGCACACATGCACACATTCATGCGCATATATAAATTATAAAGAAAAGAACAAGACCCTTCATCTTTCATAATGCTTCAAAGCTTTCTTCTTTGCTCACATCCGCCCCTTCAAACTAGGAAAGGCTCAAAAAAGACTGGGGTCCTGTTGGCTAATCTTAGGATAGTGTTGATTGGTCTCTGTTTATCTACAGGATGAGTTATTTCAAGTGGTGCATTCTCCTTGCAGATTATTGAAAAAGGATTGATGACTCGAGCTGACTTTGATGAAGCAAGAGAAAAAGCTTTAAGTTTGTTTGAGTATGGACAGGTGATTAAGATTCTGTTCATAAGCTTCATGTGCTTTCTTGATTTAATTTTTTATGGTGCACATAAGACAATATCAATCAACATACAAAAATTCTTTGAGATGAGATCAAATTATAAATCAGTATGTTAAAACTTAAAATGAACAAGAGGCTTTATATATTAAAAGTACACAAGAGAATAAAAAGTAAACAAATATTGAATTGTATTTAGTGCATTGACAACCTGTTGAATGGGATGAAAATATTGCCTTTGGCATTGAGAGTTGCTTCCCGATCTGTTTAAATCCCCTAGTTTTGTTAAAAACCATTTTATTACTACTTCACTGTTTTACGGTGTTAGTAATGCTCTGTCGGTAGTTAAAATGTTCCTATGTGATATGTCAAGCATTGTAGCGTATTTAGAGCAATCCTGGGACTCTCTTTATGTATGTGGGTGTTTGTACTTTCTACAACCAAACACTTTCATCATCAGTTATTAAAACATGATGGATTATTTCTTTTTATATTTTCACCTCTACTGCATGTTGCTTGATGATCTTTACTGTATTGTTTAATGCAACTGACTTTATGATTTCTATGATTTTGTTGAAAATACAGCATGTAGCTTTGGAGCATGGCTTGATTTTGGTAGATACAAAATATGAATTTGGAAAGAGTAGTGATGGTTCAATTCTATTGATTGATGAGGTTAGATGCCATTTTCATGAAAAGATTCCCTGCTCTTATACACACATTACACATGCAAACATGTGCACTCACACAAACACATCTGTGTGTTCATGCATATATAGGCATGAAGAATTCACACAAACTGACAGTAAATGATGGGTTTTGCAACTTGTTTTGTAATTCTAGGTGCATTCACCTGACTCGAGTAGATATTGGATTGCTAATTCTTATGAAGAGCGCTTTCAGAAAGGTCTTGAACCTGAAAACATTGACAAGGTATTTAGTGAATAGTTTATGCATATCTGACTTGATGTTTAGGGACAAAAAGGTGGTCTTCCTGCCAGCACACATTTGAAGATTGTTGATTATCATTTTTAAGTTCCTCAGTGGCCATGTGCTGAGAAAATTTTCTGAGTTTTAATAAGTAATTATTTATGGAGTTTATAGGAGTTCTTGAGGTTATGGTTTAGAGATAACTGCAATCCCTATGAAGACAAGGTAAGTCACATTAAGAAGTTAAATTCTATGCTCTTTGATGTCTGTTCATCAGAGGAAATATTGTAAATCTCATTTGATGATGCACTCCTTAGGTCCTTCCTGATGCCCCTGAAGAACTTGTCTGCGAGCTTGCTTGGCGGTATGTTTTCCTTGTTATCATACCTTTTAGTTAGTCACAGAATATATGCTATTAAGAATTTAAAGGGAAAAGCAAAAATGAAACCAATGTCTTATTCACTTCAGATTACGTCTTATTTCTCACATACTATTTCTTAACCATTTCACTTATCAATTGTAACACACTGTCATTGTTTTATCAGCTCTTGTGTGTAGTATGTTGTGATGCTAGCCTTTACAAAACATGGCTGTATGGACCTAATTTTACAAGGTTGTAGAATTTGGTAAACAGTTTTTAGTAATGGTAAATTGTTTATAGAGAAAGATGATTATTATGGTTTGGGGTGCGTTTTGGATTGAGATCCTCACAATTACTTTTTTGTCCATTTCTTTTCAATGCATTCATCATGGTTCACACGAGTGTGGTGCAGTCATTAATTGTCTTTGTGTATTCTAGACGTGTGAACAGTGATGATAGTTGTATTGAAAGATAACTGAGAGGAGCCAACGTATGTGTTTCAGTCAATGTGTTTTGGCGTACCTTGTGTTGCTTCTTGATGTAGAAACATTTTGACAGTGTTTTATGATTGAAGTGCTTTGAATAATGTCCATTTGCGTTGATGTTAACCTAATGCCAGATACATCTTTTTATACGAGACAATAACAAAATCAAGATTTGAGACGCCATTGACGAAGGTAAGACTCAGCACTATAGATGCCTTTTTGATGTGTTACCATGCAAAGTGACAATTGGATTTTTTGTTCTTGCAGGAGCCAATACATGATCGAATCTCGCAAAATGTTTCATCCGCATTGTTATCTTTGCAGTAGCTCAACAAGATCAAACAAGAGCTCATGGTTTTCCTAGGATGGATTTTATAGTGAAACTTTAAATGAGCATTCAATCATTAATAGAGTTTTAAGTGTTTTTTTCCTGTGATTTCCTTTATGGAGAATAGGCTTTCAGAATCCCAAGGCTTTTGGTAGATGAAAAGGACAAGTTGGATTGCCTCGATTAGCCTTGTGCACTTGTTTTGCCTTTAAATCTATAATTAGTACCACCATTTCAATGGATTCAAAGAAAGATTAAATAAATGTCTGACATATTTGTCTCGGTCTTTAATAATGAATGGATGCATTAATAAATTTAATACATGAATGATGCAGGCCAATGCACCTTATTTTGCTAGTTGTGTTGTCGTAGGCCTTTTTGGTTTCCTGGTAAAGAGGGAGAAATCTGTATTTTCAATGTTTGTTGTCATGAAACAATAGCACCATTTCATTAGTCTTGTCATGAGATCCAATAATACAAGTTTTGCTCAAACATGCCATATCAACTAAAGCAATCTGTCATTTTAATTTTTCCAGCATTTTCATGTGTCTGATATGTGTATGCGTGAGGAAACGTCAATACTACCAAACTATAAAAAATCATTGGCAGACCATTTAGTTTTGTATCAGTAGATATCGATTGTGATAAATTTCAAATTTACTAGCATTGTATTGTACTCCTTTTGGTTACAAAGTTGCAAATGTAAATAGCAGTTTAACCAAAATAATGGCCAGACATGGTAATTAAATACCTTGTAATTTTATGGCTGCTGTAATGGTTTCAATGCAGAACAAGGCCCTAGCGGCATCCATCTAGAGCAGCTATGCAGACCCTTGTGCACTCCATTTTTCTGTTTAAAAGACGATAGAATTTGATTATCATCAAGAATGAACACCTTTACTTCAGATGTAACAACCAGCTGGGCCGAATCAAGGGCAGTTTTTAATCGGGACCATAAGTCATCTTTTTTCCTTTACAATAGAACCTCTTTCATCCCCAAAAACAGCTGAAATTAGGAAGCATTGGTGGCATTAATCCCTGCAGTCAATTTTACTTGCTTGTCGAAAGCTTGAACAAGGGTCGAAATTTCATCATCCATCTCAAGTTTATCAGTATCCATCATTTCAAGGATATCATGAGCTGGTCTCTTAGCCTGAAGGTGGATTCTAAGCAATGATTTATAAATTGGTGAACTTGCAAGACCCATACGCTGAATATCTCTAATAAAGTTGTTTGCCTCTTCCAAATTCCCCTGCTTCTCGAAGTATTCAGCAATGGCCACAAGAATGTGTTGCGATGGTCTCCAATGACAATCTTTTAGCATAGTGAAACCTTTCTTCATAGCATTGATGGCCTTTACCATGTTATTGCTTCTCAACCACCCCTCCGTTAGAATTTCCCACGTCTTGTAATTGGGACACCCACCTTTCTCCAATGAGCGGAGATGCAGTGACTCAGCTTTGTCCACCCATCCATTCCGCATGTATGCACCCAAAAGGACATTAGAGACTCTGATATCATACTTCAGGGAGTTGGACTCCCATTCCATAAACACCCTCTCAGCTTGAAAAAGATCACCTAGCTTAACCAAGCACGACAATATGCACGTATAATTGGCACAAGTCATTCTCCCACCCACTGCTTTACTGGCTTCCCAAAGCCGAAGAACCTCACCCTTATTGTTCAAAGATGTATATTGAGTCATGAGGAACATATAACCCAAGCGCTTACTTGCAGACAGCTTTGATTCTGCAGTTGTGAGGGCAACAACTGCTTTCTCAACAAGACCTGAATTGGTATAAATATTAGCTAAGGTAGACATCGTGCTCCACCCCACTTTGACATTCTCATCCCTCAGCATTTCTGCACAAACGGCCTCTGCTTCTGCAACCCCAGATAATTGAGCACAAGCATCCATCCAAAGGTTGTAGGATAGAACATTTTTGCGTATTTTGTTTCGTGTCATTTGCTCAATAACCAGAGGTACTTTTTCATACTTAGATGTCGCCATGTACAGCTTCATCATTTCAGTAAATGGATGGGGGGTGAGGGTCAGCCCCAAAGCAGCCAGTTTACTCATGAAAGACTCGGCTTTTTCAGTGTTCCTTTCTTTTACAAAACCATTGAGAAGAGGGAGACAAGCCGCTTTCTGTGAAGCAGTGTTGGGTAAACGATTGAAATATTCTTCAGCCGCTGTTAAATCACCCGTCTTGATGAGCAATTCCACTTTACAGGCATGATCAGCAGCTGACATCTTTAAACCTTTTTGTGTTTCCTTCCATGTCAAAATCTGTTTTTTTTTTTTTCACAAAATAAATTTAGTAATACAAAATTTAATATAAATAAATGGCAAAAAGAAAAAAAAAACCATTTTCCTAGAAAATCATACACTAATTTTTCCTACCCAGGAAATTCATCTTTATAATTTTTATTTTGTCTTCCCAGAAATTTCTTCCAATTAAATACAAAAATGTACTATTTTTTTTTTTTTTGCTTTATATTACACTATGAACAAATTCTGAAGATGAAGACAAAAGAAAGGAACCTCGAGGGCCTGATTGTAGCGCCTAGATTTGAGGAGAATGTTGGGAATTAATCGGAGCTCCGAATTGTCAACCTTATGACCCGAATCCACCCAATTTTGAAGCACCCTGGTTGCACTTGCCGTTGGTGATTTCAGCCTCAAAATTCTCCTCTTTAAACTTTCCTTGCTACTAGCAGAAGCAGTTTTTACACGGGCCCTCCACCGCGTAATTCGGGGACTCAACAGAACTTATCAGCCTCCGCCATGTGCCGATCGCAAGCTTATTGCCTCCATTGCGTTTGAGATTACAGAAAATCGAGTGATTCGCCATGGACAAAAAGAAAAAATCTGCCTCTGCTCTCAAAGATCCTTAAGCGCTTAAGAGTTGAGAGAGAAGGCTGAGAAAGAAGTGAACGGTTTGCCACGTGGATCACTTAGTATTAAACGCTGCCGTTCAATGGGCTAAAACCTACAATGTGAAAAGTAAAAGCCCTTAAACCCCTCTCTTGCATAAAACACTGAACTTTCCAGTTGTAATAATTCACATTTCCATATCTCAACAAATTTTCTCTTTTTTTTTTTCCCCTTTAAATATCCTTCAAATTTGGTTCAAGGGTTAGTTCTCTAAAATGGGAAGATTCAACTGGCTAAGGCTAGTAAGTGCCCTCAACCCAAATTTATCTTAACCAATTTTTTTGAATTCAATTTAATTTGAAGAATAATTCTTGTTTTTTTTTTTTTACTATTTGTTGATGATTTTCCTTGCCTAATTTTGACTTGTAGTGTCGACGACATTGGGTTTCAATCATGCCTGTGGAATCGGCGATTGATGGAGGCAATGGGGTTAGGAAATTTTCTACATTATTCCAATCGTTGAATCGTGAAAGAGGTAATGCTCGTTTCTTCTAAAACCGATGAGTACCTTAATTTTTAAATGCACATTTCTAATTAGCTAATAGTAATAAATTATCTCTCTATTTTATTTGGAATAAGCTTTGCACAGTTCCAGTTTTGGTATTGGGAAACCTTTTGATTTCACAGCCACTGGAATGCCACCGAGAGAGCGTTATTTCCATGCAACAGGTTTTTTTTTTTAATTTATTTTTTAACTTGAAGATTTTCAATTTTTTGGTTATGAATTCAAGTTTTCTTAAGTTAATGCATATTTCTAGGGTCAGGCTGCTCTGCTAAACAAGATTACTATGAAATTCTTGGATTGCCAGAAAATGCTACTCGAGAGGAGATTAAAAGGGCGTATCATGCAGTGAGTAGATAGATGTTGGCATTTGCTCTATCCAAAATAAATTCTTGACTTAATTTTATTGATTGATATATAGAAAATAGAAACCATTTGAGGAATTGTTTTTATGGTTATTTTTGGTTATGTAGCTTGCCAAGAAGTACCATCCTGATGCAAATAAGAATAATCCTTCTGCAAAGAGGAAGTTTCAAGAGATAAGAGATGCCTATGAGGTTTGTAGTTTTGTTGTTGTTGATTAATCTCAAATTTTTATCCTTCCCAATGACAGAATAAATAATGACAGAATAAATACAAAAGTCTAATCTTGGATATTTTTTCAAATCTTGTTAAAAATTTTCCATTCATCCTTTTGTTCTTGTCATTGTAGACTTTGCTAGATTCGGAAAAGAGGAGAGAATATGACAGGGTAATGATACTCTCCCCCTCCCCTTTTCCTGGTTTGTTGTTGTTGCCTTTTTTTGCCTCTACAAATGAAACTCTGGCACAGTTTTGTTACTATTGGTGCTTAGGAAAATGTTGCCACCAAGTCTTATTCAGATGGGGCTTTTGAATTATCTGCAATTTAATGTTTGTGGTTTCTAAATTAATTGAATTGCTGTGAATCTTTTCGAAGAAGATGCATGCTAGAAGTTCAGAAAACATGGAATATGGTGCAAATGATGCTGAAGGGTTTAGATTCTACGATACAAGTGGTGCACAAGGGTTTAGATATACTTATCAAACAGGCTTCTCTGATTCATTCTCTAAGATATTTTCTGAGGTATTCATTGTTCCCTCTTTTTATTCTTGTGTTCATGGAATAGGTTGTCATGATTTTAAAATGCTGAAAACTTCTTGTGTTGCAGATATTCCAAGACGAGATGGATCAATTTGCACCAGATATCCAGGTCAACAAATTTTCTCTCCTGAATTTTTCTACTAGCTTCATACTTTGGATTTTCAAGTTAAAATATGTTCAGTTTGGGATTTTTTAGACAGAGCTGTTACTCTCTTTTTCTGAAGCTGCTAAAGGATGCACAAAGGATCTATGTTTTGATGCATTTGTTCCTTGCGATTCTTGTGGTAAGTATAGCTAAAAGTTCATTGGAATCATGTTGCATTCAAGAATCATTAAAGCACAAATGTAGTCCTCTACGTGCATTAATCCTTCTGCTTCTCAATTTATGTTTGTTCAAAATTTGGTATGCATTCTCGTTACTGTTAGAAATCAAGTTTTGCTTAATTTGTTGCAAATATTTTCCAGCATCTTGTTGAATGTATTTCTCTACTCTTTCCATTTGTTTGAAGGATGGATTCCTTTCCTCTTTATAGATGATATAGTTTTCTCACGCCTTGTTTATTGCTTAATGCAGACGGGCGTGGCTATCCACCTAATGCCAAAGTGAAAGTTTGTCCAACTTGCAGAGGCACAGGGACGGTGAGTTTTTTGATGATCTATTTTTATGGTGATTAATATATAAATCGTTACAATAGGGTTTACTTTCTGAAGATAATACATGTTACCTTCTATTTATTATACTGTATTAACTCGTAGCCAGGTTACAATTCCTCCTTTTACATCAACATGCAACACTTGTAAAGGATCAGGACGAATAATCAAGGTCTGATGCCATTTTCAGCAAACCCCATTCTTCTTTGACTTATGTCATGTTAACATGGTTTTACACTTATGATCCAGGAATACTGTATGTCATGCCAAGGATCAGGGGTTGTTGAAGGTGTCAAGGAAGTTAAAGTTACATTACCTGCAGGTAGATATTAGATGCTTGTCTTTGATGAAACATTTTTTCAAGTTCAGATGTTCGAGAGGTAGGTTTGATTGTTAGCAGTTCATATAAAGAAGGTGGTTGCCCATGGATTTCTTATACGGTTTAGCATATAGCTTTGAGTGTTCAATGCTTCTTAAGTAATACAGTTTTTGTTAATTAACCCATCTCTATGACAAGTACTACCTTTGGTTTCTGCATCTTGCATGGATATAACCTTTGTTTGCATAAGTGGTCTACCTTTACTGTCACAAAAATATATGTTGCTTAAGATAGTAGCATTAAGTTTGTTGATTTTGGTTGTTATTCTTCTAAAAAATGGATAAGGTGTGGATTCTGGAGATACAATACATGTACCAGAAGCTGGTAATATTAGGCGACAAGGAAGTCAACCTGGTAACTTGTTTATTAGAATAAAGGTGCAGTTCCTTCTATTTCCTAATCTTTGTGAAGCTCACTTAAGGGCTAGTTGCTTAAAGTTGATTACGTGCAAGTGTAGATTCATATGTGCATTTCATAATTTATGGTCATCGGATTTATGGCTCTACTTGTCATTTGAGCTGGCATACATGCTACACATTTGAAACTAGCATATGACGAGTTTTAAACTTGATTTGAGGACATCAAATAGGCTAGTAGATAAGTAAATATCTAATTACTATTTGATGGTTAAGATATACATCGTCCTTGCTTTCTGAACTTTGCTTTTATAATTTAGGTGGCAGATGATCCTGTCTTTGCAAGAGATGGTGCAGATGTTTATGTCAACTCTAATATTAGCTTTACTCAAGTAAGAATTTGTGCTTGTTTGTGCACCATCTGGCTAGATCAGATGTGATATTTCACCCACATTCAAAACATTTGATGTAGAACTCTTATTTTTCTCTACACTTCTATATGTTCTTTGTTTCCTGATGTCGTTTGTTTCACCTTGATCTTTTTATATGCTTATACTATATTATCTCTTATTATTAGTGAAGACGTCTCAGTTGATTTCTAAGTGTGTGCATAGTTGCTGCCTTTTTCAACTAAATTTTATGTTGTCAAACAATTTTATAGATTTGCAAACAGAATCCAAATAATTCTACTTATAATTGATGTTTGCTTTTCTTACAGGCAATTCTTGGTGGTAAAGTTGAGGTGCCTACACTGTCAGGGATGATTCAAGTGAAAGTAATACTTTTGGTTTTATGCTACTCTTTTATTTGTTTGTGCATTACACTTTGGTAAGAATTACCGAAAGGCAAAAGAAAATATTTATGTAAATTTTCTAGTATTAGAGGAGGTAGTCCAGATATGAAAAATTAAGTACTGAATCTTTAAATATCATTGGACATGAGCCTCAGTTTTATCATGATTTGGACTGTTAATTTTTAACAATCCACATGCATCAATGTATTCAACATTAACCATTTTGTGTTTTGGACATGTGAAACGTAGGCCTATTTGTGCACCAATTAGGAGAAATGAGCTTCTATATTTAGGAGAGACCAAAACTTCTAGAGGTAGACTATTAAAGATGTGGATGCAAGTAATAAGAAATGATATGAGGGCTAAGGAAGTAGATGAAAGGATTGTTGTTGATAGAAATGAGTGGTGCAAGAAGATTCAAAATTACGACCTAACATGATTCCTTTTTTGGCCTTTTATATGACTGACCCCAAAGTTATGAGATATAAGGCTTAGTTTTTTGTTGTTGTTGTTGTTGTCGTTGTCAGATACCAGAAGGATGTCAACATGGACAACTTCTTGTTCTAAGAGGCAAAGGTATGTTTAATCATTCTTCCCTACTGTCCCACATCCTCTCCCTGTTTCTTTGTGCTGCTTGAATTTATTCTCTTGTGCGGTTACCTGCCATAAATGTGCTTTCTTTTTGAGTTTCTGCAGGACTGCCAAAGCATGGTTTTCTAGTATATCATGGAGATCAATATGTCTGTTTCCGTGTTAATTTGCCCACGTAAGCTTCCTTTATTTTATTCCAGTTTATATTATTGGTTGGGTTATTTCTACATTTACGACTGATGATATGAAGATATATATAGATGTGTTTGGAGAGCAATGCACCAAAGATATTTCATTTCTTTGAAGTATACATAGTTGTCTTCCTGTTTGAAGTGAGGTCTGGCCATTAGAAAAATTATCGTGATGCTTATTAAGAGGAATTCTTCCTCAAATTTGTGCCCTGGTGATACTTCTTGCAAAGTTCACTTCTTTTTTTTTTTTTTTTTTTTCTCTCCTTTAATGTGAGGTGAAGTGGTTAATCAGCTAACACTTTTTTAATTCACTTTACTAGTTCATCAAAATATAAACTGAAAGCTAAGCATACTATACCAGTCAATGTGCATTTGGGGGAATCATGTTGCCTTGAAAATGCTCAACCTTATTATTTTTTAACTTTGCTGATATCGGGCATTTCTGCTGCATGGAAATGGAAACTTTCATCATGGTTGTCAAATATAAGTACTCAGTTTCGAGATTACCTGTTACTTTAGTGATCATAAGATGTTTTACTTTCAACTTACAAGTCATAGCTAGCAAGGTTTTTCAATAAAATGCTAAGTGATCCTTAAATGGTTTAGATACATGAGTGCTTGCTATATCCAAGTATCAGACTTTATGAGCTGGAAGAATCGAAGTTCAAACATGGCAGCCCTTTGTTCCATCTGGGTCATTAATATTTGTAAACTATAGCCTCTGTTCTAACCCCTATGTCAATTGTGGTTGATGATTTGGTAACCGCTATCATTCGTGTCTTGTCAGTCCAAAGATGTCACAGCATTCTGTTACATGAGTTGTTATTTTGCTGTTTTGAAATGTGAGTGTTCCTCATCTGAGCTTATTGTTGATACTGTATGGAAACTTTCTTTTGCCAGAACTGAGGTTATCTTTTATGTATCTTACATTTTGTTTGGTAGGAAGGAAAGAAAGAAAGGGGACAGGAAGAAAAAAGTTTTAATCTAATGGTTGAGCTACATCACTTGTGCTATTTTGTAGAAACCATTAGCTTAAAGCATTTTCCTTCCTACTAATAGAGCCTTAGACAAACATACTAATGTGAAAATGTTGGAAGGAATTATTGTGATTATTACTTTTGAAGCCCGAGTTCTGTGCAATTTAGACTCTATGAAAAACCACATTTCCTAATTTTTTTATTCTGTCATACTTTTTTTCCTTCCTACCCCCCCTCTTCAGTGCGATAAATGACCGGCAACGTGCTATTTTAGAAGAACTTGCAAAGGAGGAATTTGATAATGAAAATGACAGCACTATTGAAGGCAGTTGGTAAGTATACATAACAATAAGGCTTGTTATCTGATAATTCCAGTTATTTCAAAACTCATTTACATCATTATTTTGATGAGTTCAGATTTTGACACATTTGTTCTAGGCATAATACAATTATTTGCATGATCTCAGCTGTTTGGCATCAACATGTACCAAAGGTGATAGCTGATCTTATCATTGAGAATGTCATCATGTTCCTGATTTACATTTCTTCAGAAAATGGTTTAGCTTATCTTCTGAGTAGATTTTAGATTAGCTTTGGTTCAGACTTCTGAGCATTTGGTTTGAATTAAATACATTTGCAATTTCTCTAGCATGCATTAGTTACCTGAATTTTCACTGGGTAATGTTGGGTCCTTCAGTAACTATTCTTATTGTAATGAAGACCCTGAAATGGACAACAGGCTTTATCAGCAGCTATCTACTGGTTGAACTTACAGGTGGGAGACAATTCTTGAGCATGTGATGGGTCCCAAGTTTTTGATTGAGTTTTCTCTACTCTTGCTAATCCTGCTCGTCCTGAATAAGACGATAGGCTAAACTGACACAAGGCAACGAAGATACGCATACCAATGGAGGATATAGGAAATGGGTTCCCCCTTTTTCGGGAGGGCTCGTTCTATTTTTAGACGGTTCAATTCTCTTAACAGTAGTTTCATGATTCATCTGGTTACTAATTATAGGGGAATCAAAAGAATGCGTCCTTTTTTCTCACTTTTTGGTCTTGTTATAGTGCTCTTGTTTGCACAAAGTATTTGTTGTATAGCACTTGCTTTTCAACCATACAATAAATGGCAGGCCCAAAAATATATATATATACAATAAATGAAAGGGTACATTCATTTTACTTGTTGTATAACTTGTATCCTTGTTCTTTTTGCTTCATTTCTTCAAGATGTATAGCAATGCGGCGCATGCATTGTTTAATTATAAGACTTTGAGGAACTACCAAGTCTATTTTCATATTATTACACAGTTTTTTTTCTTATTATTATTTCATTATTAGTTTAATAGCTTCTCAACAACCGATTTCACATCTATTTTGAATGTTCATTTTTTCTTTGGTATAAAGAGGTTGTAGCCCGAGAATAGAGGAAGAGCAGAAGAGGATGCAATTGTAAGATTTGAATTTTAAATTTACTTAATGTCGTTTTTTAATGTTATTGTAGGAATTGATCGAGTTAAGTTTTCTTAATTTTAGTATCATCCAAGAAGCTAATAACAATAATAGTATATTCATACATAAAAAAACACAAGGCATGCATGATGCTGATCGATATATATGTATGTATATTGTGAACCTGAAGTCATAGGAAATCAAATCGATACATGAACATGCAAAGGTAATTTCTAAAATAACTAGGATAAATTTCTTCTTTTGTATATGTGCGAGCAATGTTCCCATCAACTATTAGCCAAACGAAGTTGGAACTTGGAATTGCTCGGATCACCGATATTTAAACACTCTCCAGACGATTGGGAGCTGATGGCATCTCCGTTTCAAGGGCTCGTTTCTTTTTCCTGGTTTGCTTGATTTCACCGTAGAAGTATGAAGCGAAGCCCCACAGTGAAAGTGCAAGAGCCACTCCCTTCTCTGCTTGAAATCTTTCTTTGTAGAAAATCACTGCCAGAATCTCTGTTACGGGTAATAGAACAGCAATTATAATACCGGATAACAAAGATGAGGCACAAAAGATTACTCCTATTGCTCCCAAGAAGAAACACTGCCATATTATTGCACTCCAAATCGAAACAACGTAATATTTTGTTTCCCCAAGCCCGAATTCTCTTGCTTCCCTTGGAATTACCTGCAAAAAATGTAACATTTCAATGTTGTTCATAGCTAGACTAAATGTTTAACTAAATAAAAATAAAACCCACAAAAAAAATGCTTTTCCACCAAATGATACGACTTTTTTTAATAAGAAAACCGAAATTGGGGATAAAAAATTGCTAATGTTGAAATTTATACCACTTTTTAAGGATTATTAGATGAACCATTTGGACCAAATCTTGAGTTTATATTGATTTTTTGACTTTAAATTAAAAACCTTATCATGATCAAGATTGAGAAAGCTGGTTTTAGTTTACTTTCTGAAAGGGGTTTTCTGAATCTTAGAAAAGATTTATAGTAGCTAATTTATGAAAGTGGCTTTGAGTTGTATCTTACCTTTTTATCTCATCATATCATGATCAAGATTGAGAAAATTGGCTTTAATTTATCTCGAGATCTAGAAATTAGTTAAACTATATATAATAGTAGATTTCGTTGGACGCTAGATGGAATATACTTTGGCCGGAAAGAGATGATAGAAAGAGACAGAAAAGAAACCTTGAAATCGTTGTTAACCAGCATTCCAACGGTGCAAAAAATAGTAGCAAACAAACACATCACCAACTGAATTTCCATCACAAGGGCGTAGCTGATTTCTTGCTTTGCCTTCTTGTACGTTAACTCCACCAAAGGCAAGATAAATCCATACAAAGCCGATGCAGCCAAGGTCATTAGAAATCCTGAAACATATTCCCTGTTTGATTCATTCGCAGGACGGTCACTGCCCGTATGCAAAGCTAAAACACCTGCTCCAATCGTTAACAAGAAAACAGAGTTTATGGAATAAGAAGTGAACTTTTGCTTCACCAAAAGAAAAGCAAACCCTGCTGTGAACGCCAACTGCGACGCAATGATTAAAGAAGAAGTTGAAACCGGAAGACGGGCCATGCCAAAGGCGTAGAGGTAGTCATCAAGGCCAGTCAGGGTTCCAATTACCGCGACGGCAATGAACAAGGGAGGTTTCATGAAGAAAAGCTTGTTTTCAGAACTAGGTTGGGTCCTGGAACGGTACATGTAAGCACAAGCTATAGGGAAAAGGATGATGGGCCAACCACCAGTCTGAAGCCAGCTCGAGAACCAGACTCGTTTCCCACCATGGATGAAGTAGAGGCGCATCAGAAGTGGACCGCCACAGTTGCCTATAGAAAGGATGATGCAGTTTATTACTAGTAAAGCTTTTCTCATGGTGGTGTTTGGTTCAGGTTCCTTGACGACCTCCATGGATTAATTACGGAGAAAATAATGGAGCGTCCTTTTTGTGTGTGTGGAGAGTGTAATTATAGTCATATGAACGCAGATTTGGCATCGAAGTGAGTGACAAAAGAAGAGGTCAATTATTTGTATCAAGTAGTGGGAAGAGCCCTAAAACATGAGGGTGAGATATCATATCCGCAATTCTTGACCAACATCTGAAAAAAAAAAAGAAGGTAATCGTCTCTAAGTAATTATTTTAGCAAATTAATTTAAAATATATATTCACTTAATTAGTTTAAGGTTTAAAGTTTAATTTTTTTATATAAAAAAATTCACAACTAAAAGATAAAGAAAAAAAGTTTGTGTTAAAATTTAAATTTTAAAGTATCACTTTTTAGACACGATCACTTAAACAAATTAAATTAAGTTTAGAATTCAAAGTTTAAATATTTTAAATATTTGTTTTTATTTTTAAATCCATCGACCTCTTATCAATTTATAAAATGAATTTTATTAACGACTGATTTAATATAAGTATTATTTTAAATTATTATATTAAATATCATTTTTATCTAGTACATTGAAAATCAATAAATCATCAAATTGACCATCAACTACCATATCTCTTAATATAAAAATATTGCTAGAAACAATAAATTAACTATATATCCTTAAAAAAATACTTTTAGAACACTTGATAATAAATTTTTAAAAAAATTAATTATTTATAAATTTAACTTTTCACAATTCTTCTATCAATTCATGACTATTATAATAGCTGGGAAAAATAAAACAAGGTGGGGTAACAAGATTTAAAGATCAGTACAATGAAACTACATTTTATTTTCGTGAATCAAAGGAGTTGATTTATATGGCTATGGGGCATTTTTTTTTTATGTTATGGCTAAATATATATTATAAGAGTTTATATTTAATGTATTACCAATATATAAATTTTATATATTATCAATGAATTAAATGTTATCATTTTATTAATAAATAAATATGAATTTTTAAAATAAATATACAAAATTAATATTAAAAAAAACTCGTTCATTAACAAGATAATATTATTTTATTTATTAATAATATATAAAATTTATACTTTAATAGTGCATCAAATATAAATCTATTATATAATAATACATAAATTACTGGTGTTTATGTATATTCACTAATTAAAGATAATTAGGATGCCTTGGAACTTGATTCTAGGACTTTGGTTTGCACCAATATAATTGTTTAAGCAAAGCCAATAATTTAATTGCGGCAGATTTAAAAACTATGCCTAGGTAGCTACTTTCAGTTATTAAATACTAATGACTTAATTTCTTCGTGATCATGATTCATGACCCATTAGCAACGTGGAGGACTGAATTACTAATATATTTTATATAAATAAAATCAAGACATACCGATTGTTCAAGATCCATTTTACCAAGATTAAGGGGTAAAAAATTAATCCATAATCAATGTGATCTTTTTTATACTATAACTAAGCATCGAGATTACTTAAACTCGAATATAAACCTTACAACATGTTATTTGGTCAAGAGATTGTTGGGCCATCGATTTGATCTTGTAATGTTATTGTTATTTGTGATGAAATTGCATGGTGATGATATTGACATGGTTGAGTCAAGGTCACAAGGTGGAGCTAAGCTAGCTAAAAAGGCTAGGTAGACAAAAAAGCTGAGCTGGCTGAAAATGCTGAAATGAAAGAAGAAGTTGGTTATGGCAGGATAATGGAATATTGGAGTCAGTGGCACAACAAGAAGCAACAAAAATGAGTATGCTGAAGACAGTTATAGAGCTGACAGAATAATTGGTTGATTTTTATTACTATGTGCTTAATTTTCATTGGACAGATTTTAGAATTATAATGTCAGCACATATATTAAATATAACCACCTTGTACATGTAGTTGAGGAGTATGAATGAAATTTACAATTTCTCTCTATTCTCTCAAACTCTCTCTTTCTCTATTCGGGTCTAGTCTTTCATTTATTTGATTTCCCTTTCTTCAACTGACTCATTACATAACAAATTGGTATCAGAGCTTCCTAGATCCAATCTGGGTAAGCAAAACAAATTTAAATTCATGGCAGAAGGCACCAGATTTACCAAGTTATAGGAACAAGTCTAGGCTCTTCAAGAAAAAATGAGAGCAGAACCAAAATGGTGGGAGGCCCAACGGAGTAACATTGAAGCTAAGCTGGCTGAAAATAAGAGGAGTATTCATTTGGTACTCGAACAGAGGATATTCTTGAATCTCAACTAGCTGAAAATCAGAAGTATATTACCCAAGTCGTTAAGCTATTATCACCACAGGGAGCAAAAACGAGTTAGTCTAAGTTAAGAGGTATTGAAAGTTCCACCAACAATCAACTTACTCCATTGTCTCAGTTCAAAAAAAAGGTAAGGCCCTTGTACATATTACTGTGATAGATGATCAAGGTAAATATACTTATAAAAGTGATGAACCTAGAATTTAGCTAAAAACTAGCCTGAAAACAAGAGCTATTTCTTTCAAAATAGTGCTAGACAATATAAAATGGGTGATTTCGATGCTAGAAATAACTCAATACTATAGGAAATGTATATGCCCTAAGACCCAAAATAGAACTTTTTGTATTTGATGGTAGCAACCCAAGAGGATGGCTTAAAAAATGTCAAAAATATTTTGCTATATTCTCTATTAGTGACCATCAGAAGCTTGAAATTGCTACTATATATTTAACTAGGAGAGCTGAAGTGTGGTTTGATGGTTATGTTATGCAAAGGAACATGGTGACTTGGCAACAATTTACTAGTGATCTATGTTTAAGGTTCTGTGATAGAACTTGTTCTAATATTGTAGAGGAGTTTAATAAGTTCAACCAAAAAGGGTCAGTGGATAAGTGTTAAGAGAATTTGAGGAATTAAAACCTTATATGTTGCAGTTTAATCCCCATTTAACAAAAGAATATTTTGTTTCTAGCTTCATTAATGGGTTAAAAAAAGATTTAAAGCTCAGGGTTAAAGTAAATGAGCCTAGTAACCTTACTGCTGCATACAAACAGGCCAAGCTACATGAATTGTCCATTGAATTTGAAAACAAAAGGTTTAGACATTTCCCAAAACCAACATTACTTTCAATATTGGACCTTACTCGAAACCAATACATTCAATTACCAACCAAACACTAAAAATCACCTAAAATGCCTCATCTATAACCAATAAACAACAATTGATATAGCAAATGAGGGCACAAAACTTGTGTTTCAAATATGGTGAATGATTTTCTCCTGGACATGTGTGTAAGTTCAAACAACTTAATGTTATTGAAGCTGATGAGATGACTAAAGATGAGGACTATGATAATCTTGATGAAGATGTGAAACCAAAAATGATAGAAGAGCTAGATATTACTGAAAAACTACAGATATCCATAAATGCTATAACAGAAAGTGTGAGGCATAATACCATCAGAATTGCAAGAACTATAAAAGGGAAACCACTTAGCATCTTTATAAATAGTGGCAGTACTTACAACTTTGTTACTCCAAAGTGGGCTAAGGATGGCATTGAAGTTGAACAAACCAAACCAGTAACCATTATAGTAGCTAATGGTGAAAGACTCTACAGTAATGTCAAGTGCAAGGAGTTAGCATGGGTGATGCAAGGTTACATGTTTACACATGATTTAAGAGTCTTACCAATGGTGGGTAGTGATATAGTTTTTGGTGTTGACTGGATGAAGAAGTATAGCCCTATGGTATTTGACTTTAATAACTTGTATATAGCATTTCAAAAAGAAGGGCAACAATTGGTATTGATATAAAGTCATAAATAACTAGAATTCAAACTTATTTCTGGTTAAAAGTTACTGAAACTGGTGAACAAGGAATATGAACTAATGGAAAAATTTTATATGATCAGTATGGAGAGTAGAAAAGATGAAGAAGTTTCATCAGAATTACAAGAACTATTGTTTGCATATTTAGATATTTTTGTTGAGCCAACTAAGCTTTCACCTAAGAGGTCTCATGATCATAGCATACCTTTTAAGGAGGGAGCTTAACCTGTAAACCTTAGACCTTATAGGTTTTATCATTACCAAAAAGCTAAAATTGAAAAGCAAATTTTTGAAATGCTTTCCTCATCAATCATCCAAACTAGTAGGAGTCCATTTGCCTCACCTTGCCTATTAGTTAAGAAAAAAGATAGTTCATAGAGGCTTTGTGTTGATTATAGGTAACTCAATGCAGTGACAGTCAAGGATAAATTTCTAATTTCAGTAGTAAAAGATTTGCTAGATGAACTCGAAAGAGCTAAATTCTTATCCAAAATTGATTTATGATCAGGCTATTGGCAAATTAGATTTTGAGATGAAGATATTCCAAAAATAGCTTTCAAGACATACTATGGGCATTATGAGTTTAAGGTAATGTCATTTAGGCTTACTAATGCTCCAGCTACTTTTCAATCCCTGATGAATGCTATTTTTTCTCCTTATTTAAGAAAATTCGTACTAGTTTTCTTTCATGATATACTTGTTTATAGTACCACCTTGCAAAAACATGTGTTACATTTACAACTTGTTTTTAAAGTGTTAAGGTGTAATCGATTGTTTGCAAAGAGAAACAAGTGTTTTTTTAGCCAGAAATAGGTTGAATATCTTGGTCACATTATCTCTGAGGATGGAGTGGCAACATATCCTTCTAAGGTGGAATTTATGAAAAATTGGCCATTACCTAGCAATTTGAAATCCTTGAAAAGGTTTTTTGGGGCTGACTGGTTACTATAAAAAATTCATCAAAGGGTATAGAATTATCAACAAGCCTTTAATAGATATTTTAAAAAAATAGGTTTAATTGGATGCCCAAGACAATGGCATCTTTTCAACAATTTAAAGAAGCCATGAGTATAGCCTCAGTACTAGCCTTACTAAAATTTTTAAAACCATTTTACTTAGAGACTGATGCTTGCTCGACTGGCATATGAGCGATATTATCCCAAGAAGAAAGGCATGTTGGTTACTTGAGTAAGGCCTTAGGACCAAGACATGTTGATTTGTCCATATATAAAAGAGAGTATTTGGCCATTTTAATGGCTGTGACTAAATGGAGGCATTATTTGGAAGGAGAGCC